CATTCTCGTGTAAACGAACCTAATTTAAATCATTCTAAGGGATCCTTTATTTTTAATCGCAATCAGGTAACTCCCCAGTCCTCTCCTCTGAACATCGCTACGCTAGACAGTATTCTCATACTGTAACCACGAGTAAGTACGTGGTGGCAAAATATACTTATGTGCCTCTCCGGATACTGTTTGCGAGCGTGCCGGTATAAAAGAGTGTTAGTACATTTGTGTCTGTGTAGAGTTTGAGTGCTTCTGAGAGTCTGTATGCACTGCTGTGTGGGACTTTGTGGAGGGTGTGTGTGTGTGAGTGTGTGAGTATATTGTGAGTGTGTATTTGTAGGTCTGTGCAGGCTGTGTATTGCATCTCTAAGTCTGGAGTATGTGGGTGTGTGAGAGTCTATATGCACTGCTGTGTATCTGAGATAATGTGTGTTCTGTGTGTATGAAAGCGTGTATTGTGAGTGTGCATATGTAAGTCTGTGGGTTGTGTGTATTGTGAGTGTGTATCTGGAGTATGTGTGAGTGTAAGGGTGTATTGTGAGTGTGTATGTGAAGTCTGTGTGTGATTATTTTGAGTATGTATCTGGAATGTGTGTGAGTGTAAGGGTGTATTGTGAGTGTGTATGTGTAAGTCTGGCTGTGTGAGTATTGTGAGTGTGTATTGTGGAGTGTGAGTGTGTAAGAAGGTATATCTTATAACTGTGGAGTATGCATATGTGTGAGTGTGTAACAGTGCATTATGAGTGTATATGGTGTAAATGTGGGGTGTGCGTATGTGTGGAGTGTATGTAAAAGTGTATTGTGACTGTGTATCTTGGGAGTGACTGTTGGGTGTGCATGTGTGTGAGTGTGTATGAGCGTGACTGTGTGAAGAGCGAGCCCCACTGCCCCTGGCCTCCTTGGTTGGAGGAACCCTAGCAAGTGCGTCTGCGCCCAGCCCTGGTTCTGCGCTCTGCTGATCTGGAGACAGAAGCAGGCGACCCGACAGTCAGGAATCCTCTTCTTGCAGTCAGGAATCCTCGTCCCACACTAAGCAAAAAGCAAACTGAACAGTTTGCTTAGCCACACGCTTAGAGTTTGGCGTGATGTGTGTTTGTGTAGATTGAAATGCAAGCCTAAGAAGAATTGTCCTTCAGTCTGTTTCCTGACTGCTTTTTACCTGCTGTTTTTCCTGACTCCACCGTTTGCTGTGAAGTTTTGTCTTGTTCATGCTAGAAAGGTGCTCCGTTTACGGTATTTCCTGCTCTAGTAATACAGTACATGGTGGTAGGTGCAAACAATACTTGGGGGTCAGCACCAGGTTAGACCACCACCTGGGACGCCCCCATCCTACACTGCAGTGAGTGTGTGTGTGGTGTGTGTGTGAGTATGCGTGTGCCCGTCCTACACTGCAGTGTGTATGTGGTGTGTTTGGGTTTGTGTGAGTACATGTGTGCCCGTCCTACACTGGAGTCTGTGTATGCGGTGTGTGTGGGTGTGTGTGTGAGTATGCGTGTGCCCGTCCTACACTGCAGTGTTATGTGTGGGTGTGAGTACATGTGTGCCCGTCCTACACTGCAGTGTGTATGTGGTGTGTGTGGGTGTGAGTACGCATGTGCCCGTCCTACACTGCAGTGTGTATGTGGTGTGTGTGGGTGTGTGTGAGTACGTGTGTGCTGTCCTACCCTGCAGTGTTATGTGTGGGTGTGTGTATGTGTGTGCCCGTCCTACCCTGCAGTGAGTGGTGCTCGTGCACACCAGGTGTCAGCCCACCCATGGTGCCCGTGCACACTGGGTGTCAGCCCGCCCATGGTGCCCGTGCACACAGGGTGTGAGCCTGCCCCTTGTACCCATGCATACTGGGCATCAGCCCACCCCTGTACCCGTGCACATGAGATGTCAGCCTGCACGTTGTGTCAGTGCACACCAGGTGTCAGCCCGCCCAGTGCCCGTGTGCACCGGGTGTCAGCCCGCCCCTCATACCCGTGCACACCAGGTGTCAGCCCGCCCAGTGCCCGTGCACACCAGGTGTCAGCCCGCCCAGTGCCCGTGTGCACCGGGTGTCAGCCCGCCCCTCATACCCGTGCACACCGGGTGTCAGCCCGCCCGTCATGCCTTTGCCCACCTCTGATCCGGGGGTTGCCTTGTCTCTGGCCTGCACGTGAGCTCCGCTCCCTCGTGGGGCGCAGCGCAGGAGCAACAGCAGAGGGCAGGTGTGGTTTCGTGAGTCACGTCAGTGCCACAGGGAGCCGGGAGAGGTCTGCGGACAGCGCGGCTGGGGGGCGGTTTTCGCCCTGGTGTGTTTATCCCAGGGACGTGCACCCCGCCTCTGTTGGGGGCAGGGACGGGTGCGGCGTCGCCTGCCCCGATGTCCCGGATGCTGGAGCACTCGGCCAGCTCCTGGTTGTGTCTGGAGTTCTCACGCAGCAGTCAGGGAACCCGCAGGGCAGCGCGCGCTCTGCGACTCAGCGTGGCCGCATGCCCCTCACTGCCCCTCTGCTTTCCTCCCAGAGGTTCGTGGAGAACAGCAGCGTGACCGCCTGCTACAACGAGCTCATCCAGATCGGGCATGGGGAGGTCCGCTCGCAGTTCAAGCTACGGTGAGTGACGGGGCAGCGTGCACGCACAGCGTCCACACGTGCTCTCAGTCCACAGCGCTCACATGTGTGACGTCCACACGTGCCCCATGTCCACACGCGCTCTCAGTCCACAGCGCTCACCTGTCCACACATGTTCACACGCATGACATCCACACGTGCTCACATGGCCACACATGCTCACAGTCCACACGCGCTCACATGTCCACACATGCTCACAGTCCACACACACTCACCTGTCCACACGTGCTCACAGTCCACACGTGTTCACACATGCACAGTGCTCACAGTCCACACATGCTCACATGCATGATGTCCACACGCGCTCACATGTCCACACATGCTCACAGTCCACACGTGCTCACATGTGTGACATCCATACTTGCTCACACGTCCACAGTGCTCACACTCCACACATGCTCACAGTCCACATGTGCTCAGTCCACACATGTTCACATGTCCACACGTGCTCAGCCCACAGTGCTCACACTCAACACATGCTCACATGTCCACACATGTTCACACATCCACACATGCTCACATACACAGTGTCCACACATGCTCCCATGTCTACACATGCTCACATGTCCACATGTGATCACAGTGCTTACAGTCCACAGTGCTCACATGTCCACATTTGTTCACACATCCACACGTGCTCACACATCCACACATGCTCACACACACAGTGTCCACACGTGCTCACACATCCACACGTGCTCACAAGTCCACATTTGTTCACACGTATGGCGTCTGCACATCCCCACACGTCCACATGTCCTCACGTGTCCACGCGTCCAAACGTGCTCACAGGTGACGGCGAGTGACACCATGTGACACCAGCAGGAGGCGCCAGTTCTGAAGTCACCAGGCTGATGGGTGCTGTTCACAGCCGAGTCCCGGGGTGTCGGCTGTGGGTGGGTAGCGGTAAACAGTGGGGTCTGTGCCGGGGCTCCCTGGGTGACGTGGGATCAGCTGTTAGTGTTTCCTCCTTTGACTGAATTTTCCATGATTTGCTGCTATTTGGAACCTTGCAGCTTAGGGAAAGGTTTCATTTTGTACAGTTAGGCTGGGTTGGTGCAAGCTCGGAGGCTGCTTCCTGGGGCCGTGCCTGGACTGTGGGCACGGGTGCGGGTGTTTGTGGTGCTGCCAGTGTTGCTGTGCACCTGCCGGCTGTCTCCCGGGGCCGGCGAGTGGCTTTGCGGTTATGTGGCGCTGTAGCCTCCGCCCACGCTCTTGACCGGACGGGCTTTCCCGGGGCCTGGCTGGGGCAGGATGCCGGGCTCGGTTCCGTCTGCCTCAGGGCCCACCTGCGTGTCAGTGTCCTCGCTCCTGCCCGGGCTGTGCAGGCTCCACCCTGGCCTGCCGATTGGACCCTGGAGAGCCGGGCAGGGGGCAGCTCCTGTCGCCTGTTCCCAGCAGCTTCAGGGCTGGCGGAGGCCCAGCGGCCCCTGCCCCGCCTGGCGCTGCCCCCGGGAGCCCGGTCGGCTCCGGCTCAGCACAGGAGGAGGAAGGGGAGTGCGTGGCAGCTGTGAATCCTCCCTTGTGCGTTATTTTTGTGCTCAGAGGTGCCGAGAGCCGCTTCAACTTGTCCTGCGTCCTTGGAAGCCAGCGGATCGCAGGAGCCCAGGACCGGGGAGGGGGCGCTGTCGCCTTCCAGCGGCTCCGAGCTCTGAGCAGTCGCACGGGGACAGCAGTCGCTTTCTTAGGTGGAAACTGTGAGAAAAGGGTGTCGGAGCAGTGGGAACTCGGGGGTTTTAAAGCCTCCGGTGAGGAAAGTTGCCGGAGACTTCGGTGAACACCCAAGCCTCTTTGTACCTGTGTGTTTATTGGCTTCAGCAGACTTCATAGATGTTTCTAGAAACAGCATCGCCCTTCTCCGGTATCCTGTGGCTTTAACCCTCGTGTCCTGTGGCTGATGCCTGGGAGTCTCTAGTTGTCTGAGGGCACCAGGACTTGGTGAGTTCGCGTAGGTTTTTCGGTCATAAACAGAGTTAGAAAGAGAGGTTTGCAGTGTTTTCTGTCTTCCCCGCGCATTGGCCAGAGTGGGGCACCAGCAGTGCGACACCTCACTGTCAGCCAAGTCCCCCACCCTGGCGGGAAGTGTGACAGGGAGGGAGGGCCAGGTGCCGCAGGGCCGGGCTCAGCGACGTTAGGGGCCCTTGTCCAGCCTGAGCGGGGCAGAGGCAGGCCTGGCAGTGTGCGGTCAGCCGCGAGCGTGGCCAGCAGGAGCAGGTGGGCGTGCTGCTGGCATCCGCTCAGACGCCGGGCGCACAGGCCTGCTCGGGGCCTCCTGGGCTCAGGCCTGTTTGTGTCCAAGCTCCCAACACCTGGGGGCCTACGGCTCTTCGGCCTCGCTGCCTGGAGCTGCTTTGGAGAGCTGGGCTGGCAGTTGAAGTCCTAGTGAGTCGGCTCACCCTGTGAGTGCAGGCCAGTGTAGACCTGAGCTGGGACGGCCATGACCCGGGAGGGAGGGTTTGCCTGGTGCACCAGTCCTCTCGCCCGCTGTACCGGCCTCAGCTGTTGCTTTTGGGCTGTTCTGACGCCGTCTCACCCAGGCCGTTTCCCTGGGGTGTGTGTGTGCACACGTGGGCGTGGCTTCACTCTGCCTGATCTGCCACACCCTCCCTGGGCTCTTAGGGCATTCAAGGACACTGGGGCATCCCCCCATGCTGGTGGGGGCAGACAGCTGCGGCGTTTCCTGCGGACTGGAAGGTGAGGCTCCCACGTCCGCAGTGCCAGAATAATTGTGGTCTGATCTGCAAAGCTGTTCGCGACAGTCCCACCCCGGCTGCAGCTCAGTGTGTGCCGGCACGTGTGTGCGGACCGTATTTTTATTTCACTAGGGTTGTAGGCGCCGGATCTGTGCTCCCATGTGAAGGTTGCATGACGTACAATGGCTTTCAGAGGCGCAGGAACTAAGCCACGTGCCCATGTCTGTCTGGTGAGCTCTGCTGGACAGAGGGATGTGTGAGACAGTCTGTGGTCACCCGGGCCAGGTGATGACCGTTTCCCTCCTCGTGTGCCTGCACCTCTCTCAGGACAAGACCTCGTGGACCTACAGCACAGGGGATGCTTGGGCCAGAGCAGTGCTAGCTGTTCCACCTGTGAGTCGGTCAAGGAGCTAGGCCCGAACCGCCGTGCTCACTTTACTCCAGGTCTTAAGGCAGCCGCAGCCCTCGGTGTTAGAGATAATCAACACTTCGGCTGGGCAGAGCCCTGTTCTATGGAACACAGCATCATTCCGTATCGGCAGGTGTCTCCAGGAGCTTGGTCCTCACCGGGGCCCTGTGTGGCAGCCAGCGTTAGAGCAGAGGCAGCCGACTGCATGAAGAGACCAGCCCCCGGGTTCGTGCTCCAGCCCCTGCACCGTGACCGAACCCCCCACCCCGGCCTCGCACCCTTGCCCCAGCCCCCTGCACCGTGTCCCAATCCCCCCACCCCGGCCTCGCACCCTTGCCCCAGCCCCCTGCACCGTGACAAAACCCATACCCAGGACTCGCCCCAAGTCCTACCTCCCTTCACCGTAACCAGACCCTCCCTGGGTGGCCTCTACTTCGGTTTAAGAATATGGATCTAATTATGACTGTGTGCTT